AGTCGGACCAGGCGCTCCCTGGCAGGGAAGCAGCATGGGGTCGCAGAAGAAAGACCCACACCCCAGGGTACCTCAGGCTGCCTTCCCAGCCCCCCTCAGCAGAGCGTGGGTTAACACAGAGATAAAGCACTTCCTCCATCCCAGTGCCCTGCGCGAGGGGTTCAATACTGACAACCTAAGGCCATGTAAAGCCACCAGTATTGAAGCAGGACAATGAGGAGTTCTACCTATCACCTGTTGGCCCCATACAGGCTCCAGTTTCTACTTTGCTTCTGCCAAACAGCTTTGGCATTGCAGAATGATGCTAAGCACCCAGGTAGCAACTTGGAGCTGCAGGATTTACCATCCCAAATACTCTTGGCCTCTTCTGGGCAGAAGATACATGGAACTTGATGCCCATGGTAATCATGGCTCATAAGCAACCCTCACTGTCGTGGTTCAGGCTGTAGGTGACCCACCCAGGGACTGCCTATGAGAGGGCCACATCCCAGGTTGCCCTTCCCCACAGCGTGGTATTAACCTCTCCATGTGCCTGCCTTTGGGGGAGTGCTGTCTGGTTCCCCCACTTGTGGGGGCGTGGATTTGTGCCTGCTTGGAAGGGGAGCTTTCCGCACAAGAACAGCCCTCTATAGCCCCGCTTGATATCAAGAGAGGCCCTGTGAATCAAAGACCTATTTATACCTGGGATGATTTCCATAATGGAGACTCGTGTGGAGCCCAGAACAAAGGGACAGGCCAGAAGTAAAAAGCCTGGTGGCCTCTGAGCTTGCTTTAAAGGCTCTGATGTGGGTCATGTCAGCAGAAGATAGGATGAGATTGAAAGCTCTGCAGCTGTTCTGGACCCCTGGGTGTGTGGATGCTTTTATTTTGCAATACAAGCAGCCCACACAGGAAGCTGTTGCAGGATAGGTATCTGGCCAGTTACCCCAGGTGAAGATGCCTCAGCTTCTAGGTGAACTTGGCACAACAGGAATGCAAAACAGCACCTTACTTTCCAGGCCAGCAGCCAACATCCGACCCAGTGGTGTAGCCAGCAGAGCTGCTGTCACTTGTCGGTGTCCTACATCCCTGCTCTAGTTCCCCCTGGAAGGAGCCTGCCACAGAAGCATCACCATGGTGACCACGAGTTGACCTCATTGGAGACAGTCTCAGCAGAAAGGCCAAGGCGTGACTGCTGGAGAAACTGAGGCCCTTTCGTTGCCCTAACCCCAGAGACACTCCTCTGGATTTGGGGGCACGCTGGTTGCACAGTGTAGCTAGGGCTTGTAGCTGTGCCTGATCTGTGGGTGAAATGAGGCTGTGGTACCCAGGTGCCCACTGCTGGGTACCAGATTCTCTGTGGAGGAGCCCAAAAGGTCATGGGTCATGTGGTGGGGAGGATTGGGGCCTGCCCCATCACCCTGGCATAGCACAGAAAGCCTCAGCCCTTGCTCTTTCTCTTCCAGGTGCCTTGTGGCTTGGTGGCAGGTCACGCTGGCCAGAAGCAAGCAGCGTGAGGCGTGCTCCGAGTTTGAGGGCACCAGACAGCAGCACCTCTTAGCATTGTGCTTTGTGCAGTGGAGGATAGAGCTCCTGAGAGCCAAGCAGGGAGAGGGAGCCTGCCCGCAGCAGAGCACGGTGCCAGCAAGAGCCTTTCGGCGCTGGAGAGGGGCCGCAAGGGGACGCCAAGTGCTGCACTTGGACTCCGTGGCCAGGGTGAAGCAGGTTAGGAGAATGTGTCACGGGGTAGGGGTGAATTGGGCAGTGGGGGAGCCGGGGGACACAGCTCTCTGTGCTGAGTGGGGGTTGCCAGGTCCCAAGGTAATACAGAGATGAAGGACCAGGTGTTTTGGCCTGGAACTGTGCCTGCACTTGGCTGTTCATCCAAGCTGTGCTCTCTCCTTTGGGCCACTGAAATGTGGCCAGCTGTGGTGTGGAGGCAGCCATGAGCTAGGGCACAGCATCATAGTGAGGGAGAAGGAAATTTAGATGAAAGCAGAGCTAATGACATCTCAGTAGAGCAGACAGGGTCTTGGTTACTGTCTCTTCATAGCCAGGCAACTCCGTGGAGCTCACTTCGTATCCAAGGTTTTCTGGAGTGTAAGCCCCATGGCATTTGCAGCCCGGGACTTAGCCCATTACGTGGCCCCTGAAGGGCACAGACATACATGCCGGTGTGGGTCTGATGCACGAGCAGAGAGCTCCCCTCCTTGCTGCTCTGCACATCCTGGAAGCTGCTCCCTCCGCTCTGGTTTCAGGCCTGCAACTACTGGACGAAAGCAGCTGTCTTGTCCCAGTGCTGCTGGCAACGGAGTGCCCCGCTGGGTACCCGGAAGTGCTGGAAGATGCTGCTGTCTTGGTCCACGAGTAAGAATGCGAAACCCCTGTCTGGGGGCTATGGGAGGGAGAAGCAGAGGGACAGGCTGCTTTGTCCAGTGGCTTGGGCTGTCCTGCGAAGAGATGGCTGGTTTAATTGCTAGGGTACTGGCCATGGGCTGTATGCACCTGGAGCTAAGGAGAAAAGAGCCTATGCCCTCTCTATATCCCCATAGCACCAGGCTCTGGGTGATGCTGTGTTTCCTCCTTTAGAGCAGAGACCAGGTAGGGACAGGGATCTTTCATCCACCTGCTGCTGGCTGCTCCTGAGCTCCTGCCGCCGCTGGCTGGCGATCTACAGGAACCTAAGCAGGGCAGAGAGGCTGCCCACCCACCCACTTTTGGAGAGGCCTGGCTTGGCAGTGGGAGACCCCCCTCAATACGTGTGGACCCCAGAAAGCAGCTTGGAGCTCCTACCAGTTGATCGGGACAGCAGGGAACTGGGGTAAGCAGGGCACCAGGACAGTCTGTGCCAGGATGCAGGAAGCAAGGCTCCTGAAGCAGGGCTGCCAGAGGCACCTCAGTGAAGACTGAGATGGAGGCCTTGGGCTCCAAGGCAAGCTGGGGGTGCTGGGTGGGCCAGGCACCGGGGCAGCATCAGGCTGGCAGCAAGGGAACAGGCAGTCCTTGCCATCTGATGGAGTGTATGGAGCAAGGCAGGTGCAGCCTTGTGCCTGCAGGAAGGGCAGAGATCTGGGGCATGTTGGCAGGGTGGCTTGTGTACCCAGAGAGGCCTCCAGCCTCTGGACTGGTAGGAGGGCTTGGATTACCAGCCCTAGCCTGACTGCTCCAAGCAGGATGCAGCTCCGCGTCCTCTGTCAGTGGGGAGACTCTCACCTGCCTTCTCACCAAGAGAGGAATCATGGTTGGGGGGAATGGGGGCTGCGGACACTGGTGGTCAGGAGCACAGGCCATTCACCCAAGTGACTTCCTGCTCCTCCAGGGTCAGGTACTGGCATCGGTGGCGCCTGGCTGTGCTGCTCCTGCGGTGCCGGAAGGACAGGCAAGCACACTGCCTGGCCAAGGCCTGGCTGCAGTGGAAGGATGTCAGCAGGGCAGCACTGCTGGGGCGAGCGCTGGTGAGTAGCTATCTGGGGACTGGTGGGGAGTAGGCATGCAGCAAGCCCACATCCAGACAGCACCTCCATGACACATGGGGAAGCTGGGCAGGGGACTCGCAGCAAGCCCACTTCCAGGTAGCACATGATCCCTGGAGTCCTGACTTGTGTTTCCAGCTCATCTGCTTCTTGCACAGCAGCTGTTGGGACCTGACCTGCAGGACATGGTGATTGGCCCATTCCCTCCACTGGTCTCTGTGCCTCAGGCACAGTGCCTGCAGTGCTGGGGGGGCTGGTGCTGGCAGAGGGGGAAGGCCTCTTTGCTAGCACCCAGCAGACAGCCTCATTGAGGTTTGGCTTGGAGAATGAAAATGGGTTGGACCGAAAGGGACTATATTGAGGTCTCAAGGAGGGGCCTGCCTTCCCAGCTATGCCCAGGGACAGGCAACCTGAGAAGGTAGGGGCCTGTGCAGAGCAGCTGGGTGCTAGGGCAGGAAGTAGTGCTGGGCAGAGGGGGCTGTACTCAGGACTCCCTACCCACCTCCTTCCCCCAGGCCTGGCAGCGGCTGGTGGAGCAGGGCTGGAAGACATGGCGGAGACGCTACCTGCAGCACTGCGTGTCCCAGCACTTCCTGGAAGACGAAGCTCGGAGCCTGCTGTCCTGGGTGAGAGGACCCTATTGCCTTGCTAAGGGGGGAGCCCAAATTCTCTGCACCACATGTAATTGGTGGGGCTGTAGCACCCAGAGTTGCCTCTCCCCCTCCCAATCTGAGCCCTGGTGTGCCAGGCACTGTATGGACAGTGAGCCAGTCCTGCCCTCACCCCGGCCAGCCAGAGGGGCAGGGTGAAGGGGCTGAGCCAGGCCTGCGCTCTTCCAGGCCAGATGTCACCCAGGCTGTAGGGCATGTCTTTGCAACAGGGTGGGAGAGGGAAGAGCAGGCAGAGGCACTCAGGCCCTGCTATAAGGGAGTCCTAGTCCCAGCCCAAGAGCCATGCTGGCAGCTGGGCAGAAGTCTGAGGGCAGCAGCGAGTGCTCCTCAGGCTTGGCCCAGGTCAGAGGGGTGATGCCACAGGGGGCCCCCAGCAACCCCCTTGTGCTGCTGTGGTGGGGATGAGGGAACCCTGGTTCTGACTTCCCCTCCCTCCCCTCCAGGCCTTTGGAAGGTGGCGCAAGCTGGCAGCATCCCAGTGCCAGGGCAGAGGACACCGCTGAGCTGCCAGGAGAGCTGCCTGGACTTGCCTCATGTCCTGGACATGTGAGGATACAGCCAGGCACAGACGAGGTGGTCCCTTCCATGTGCTTCCCAGGGGCACCACCTCCCAGCCTGGAAAGCCAGGTGCTACCAGGCCGTGCAAAACCCTGCTTCCTTGCTGCCTGGCTTCAGGACTCCGTCCTTGTCTTTGCACATAGGGCAGGGCCGAGATGTTCCAATTCAATTAAAGGGTAAACCACAATGGGGCCTTTCCTGTGCTCTGGTGCCAGAAGCCAGCCATGTCAGGGCTGCTGGGGGTGGAAGGAATCAGGCCCTCACCCTCCACTCCATACCCTGCTTACAGATGCGAGCAGGCGCCTTCTGCTGCCATCTCCCCACCCCCCACCCCAGCTCCTCTGAGTGGCTCCAACCTTTATTTATAGCTCTGCCCCTTCCCAGCCTCACAGGCAGCCAGAGCTCCCACATGCTGCCTTCATTAAGGCATGCAGCGGGTGGCCAGCTCCTGCCCTGCAGGCTCCCTTCACCACTGAATGGGCTGGTGATGAAGGCACCTGCTGGGAGCAGCTGAGCCCAGACAAGCTCACCACTGACACCTCCCACCCCCTTCCCTGGTTACGCCCTGCCATTATCTTGGTCTGGCTGAAGGGGGACATGGGGTGAGGGAATCTAGGCAGGCTTCTCCCCAGGCCTGGAGGGGGGAGATGAAGCACGGCTTTGGCAGGGACCTCCAGATTATTGGCACCAGCTTCACCTTGGCTATGCAGGAGGGGCAGACTGAGCGTGCACTGGAGCACTCCACACTGACACCCAGGGCTGCCTCCATGGCCCAGCTCTTACTGGCTTGGAAGAGTGCCACATAGACAGGAGACAGATTACATGTGTGTGCACTCCTGGCAGCTCTGGCATGCAGGCCTTCAGCTGTCCCACACAATGCTAGTGTCTCCTTTGACAGGGAGGGTCTTTCTGAGATCCCAAACTCTGTCTGCAACCCTGTGTTGTGGCGAAAATGGGCCAGACAAAGCCCAGCGGCACAGGATGGCACAGCCTTCCTCCACACCCCCAGACTGGCTCACATGACAAACCTTTATTACAGGGAGGGCCAGAGTCCTGCTCACTCTCACCAGAGGGGAGCCAGCTGTGCAGAATTCTTTGTCCCAGTCCTGACAAGGTGAGGCAGGGGCTGGGGCTCTGGGTAGGTGAGAGTTGAGCTGAGTCTCAGGGCATGGTCCTTGTGGGTGGCGGGCCCTGCTCAAGTGACCTGTGGAGAGAGCAACCCAGGCCTTGGTGCAGAGGTTGGGTTGGTCCTTGCTGCCACAAGTGCATAAGAGGACAGCAGAGGGCTGGGACAAGTCCACTGCTGTGGGGACGGGGACTGCTGGGGTTCTCTGCAGAGCCTTTTCCTTTGGTGCAGGAAGAGCATGTGTAAGAGGGAATATGGCTGGGTGCCAAATGGGACCACTCTCCTTTGCTGCAGCTGTGCTTTGGCCTGCAGGGGGTCAGCACTGTGTGGGGGCACTGAGCAGCTCGAAGGTGTCATCCAGGACCTGCCAAAGGCAGCTGTCCAGCGGGAAGTCATTGTCCACAAGGTTGACCAGGTAGTAGTTGTCATGGATGTACTGGATGATCATGCGCGATGGCGACTCCTCTTCGTACAGCTTTGCCCACTGCTCGATCCACAGTGCAAAGGCCTCACCCTGTCAAGGGGGCCAAGGCAGAAGGGTGAGGACCCATCCATGGGCTGTAGCCAGCAGCCAGGGCCCCTGAGAATAACAGGCTGCACCAAGAGGAATCCCTCTTGCAGGGCAATGCTGCCTCCTCATGGAGGCAAGAGGAGGCCTTGCTGCTTGTACTCTAAAGCACCTGTGCCCTGCCAGTGCGTCAGGGGCAGGGCACTGGGCTAGATAGAGCCTTGGCCTCGACCTGACATGCCAGAGCTACCCCACAGTGCGTATTCCCAGACCTGGGAAGGGCATACTGCTTCTCCAGCCTTCTACTGCATAGACAGCAGCCTGAGGTCCTTGCTCAAGCCAGACTGGCTCCTGAGGGCAGGATTCAGTGCATCTCAGCACAAGTGCTGCCCCTGCTGTCCCAAGCAGAGTAGACAGCTGTGCTTCCCCAGCCCTGTGGGTCAAGGTGGGCCCTTACCTTCCAGGACAGGAAGCTCACAGGGTCCACCACGGTTGGCTGGATGATCTCTCTGCCAGGGAAGATACCCCAGGTGACAGCATTGGGCTGCAAGTCGGGTGCATTGGTGATGTTCTTGTCCTGCCAAGAGAAGGCTGGTCCAATATAGGAAGAGGGTGTGGGAGCCTGCCCAGTCATAAACACACCTAACCTCCCACAGCCCCAGCCAGCATGACCCAGAGCAGGGAAGTGCTGCAGGTAACAGCTTCACCCACTCTGGCCACGCAGCCTCCTTCCTACCCCATGGTGCAGCCAGAAGCCCAGCATATCAGCTGGCCCCACCTGCCCCCAGGGGACACGTCTGTCCCATACCATCGTTACCCGGGCATTGACGATGTGGTAATTGACGCGGAGCTCATATTTCCTCAGCACTCGGAGCAGGGCCGTGACAATCTCGCTGGAAGTGAAGAATTCCAGGTAGGCCTGCAAGGGTTGGGGAGGAAGCACAGAGCTCAAAGCTGGGTCCAGCCAGTGCTGAGTTGTCTGGGGCCTGGCTTTGCAGGTAAACTCAGAAAGGCTCTACAAAGAGCAGCCTCCCCCTGCCTGCCCTCTCAGATGGGCACAAGCAATGCTGTGGGACTGGGGTGGGGGGCAAGGCACAGAGCAGGCATGTCATGCAACATGGCAGGGCTGGGAATGGGCTCAGAGTGCCCAGTCTCTTTTGCCTGACTGCCTCCTACTGTCAGAGCAAAGGGGCCCAAAGCTACCCACATTCTGTATTACCACTGTGGCTGTGCTGGGCTAGCATTTGCAGCTGCCGCACCGGCGATCCATGTGGCTGCAAGCAGCAGGCACAGGGTGGGAGGTTGTGTCGAAGAGCCCTAGGCTGGCATTTTTGCTGGGTGGTGCCCTCCCCTGGCAGCCATCCCCTCCTCAGCCCCTTCCCCCTCACAGCAGCACCTCCTTTGTTCAGTCTTCTCTACATGAGCTGACACAGCCTAGCTCCATGTGCCCCATGCTCTGTGCTTTGCTGGCCCCTGCCAGCGCCCCCCCTCCCATTCCTCCCCAAGCGCCCCTGGATCCATTTTCTGGCCATTGTGTAGGATGATTGATTTCTTTGCTCTTAGGGAAATCTTCTCTGTGGAGCCGCCCTGGCCATCTGCCAGCCCAACAGCTCCAAGCCACCCCAATCCCTTTAATTAGGTTCTTTGTTCCTAGGCGTCATCCCTGCTGGAAGACTGGACCTATGAGGGGTGCATGATGATGAAGCTTTGCAATTCTATAATGGGGAGAGGTCCCAGGGCTGTGCGGCAAGTGAGGTGAGGGGAAAGTTGCTGCTAGTCACCAGTGAGAGCAGACCTGCCTCTGAGGTGAAATGCAGCCACTGTCTGAACAGCGCACAGCTCTGCTGCTCAGGCCAGGAATGGATGGAGTGAGATATGGCTAGGAGGTTCTGGGAAGTCCAATTACCTGCCCAAGTTGGAACCCAAGACCCACACTGTCTTTAACACCTCCACTCTCTTGGTTGTTAGTCTGGCGCACATTCCTAAAATGGCACTTCTGACCTCAGCATGTACAGCCACTGGGTGTGTACAGGCCTGGGGAGAAGAGCACCCCCTACTGCATACCCCTGGAGACAGGACTTGGCATTGGGCTTGGGCTGTAGGCAGGAAGAAGGTCTCTTAAGGCAGGTGTTTGCAACAAGGAAGGAGATCTGGGGCAGAGGGGAAGGAATGAAAGGAGGGAATGAAAACAGCATGCCCTTGACTAAAGGAGCCCTGCCAGGCAATACAGGGCTGTGGATAAGAGGTGATGGGAAAGACTGGTCCTCTCTGGGCAGCCTCAAGAAAAGACCTGGTAAACCTGCTTGCCAGTGAGAGGCTCTATCTGTTCAGCTCATCCCAGAGCAAACTAACTGAAAGGGAACTCACTGCTCATCTGTGGAAGACTTCAGATAAAGGGCCCCCTTCAACTAGGATGAGATCCAATGGCTGAAGCCTGAAAATAGACCAACTGAGATAAGAAAGAAGGTGCCAGTGATGATGACGAGCTATGGGAGCAAACTCTCAGAGATGGGGGAGTCAAGGCTCTCCATCTTGCTCAGCCATGAGCCATTGGGAGGGAAACCGGAGTTCATGGTGGAAACTCCATAGCCTCCAGAAAGAGAGGCTGTGCTGGTCCTGCCAGGCCTCACAACACGATGTTCTTACCTTCTGGAAGACGTAGCCACCGCTGGGCCCCCAGCCCACGATGGGGTCAGTGGATGGCTTCCCATTGATGTTGGGCTGGGAATTGATGGTCAGGATACCTCGCCTGTTCACTTTCTCCAGCTCCTTCTTCAGGAGGTTGGTCTCTGTAGCCAGTGGGTCATCATTCCATGGCAGGCAGGTCACCTGCAGGGAGGGAAATAGGTTGTTGATCACCCTCCCTTCACCACAGCGTGCCAGGGCCTGAGGTTGGCAATGAGCTCCAGGGAGACCACCTCTGAAGAAGACTCCGTGCAGGCCCTGCCAGCTAAGGAGAGCAATCTCAGGTTCCAGCTCTCCTCTCTACAGACCGGTTCCCCCAGGCTGTCACTCACCTTGTGCCCATTCTTATTGTGCTCTCCAGAGATGTAGCAGGTGAACACCTCGAAGACGCTCTCCTCGCTGGTCAGTTCTTCCCCCCACATCTTCAAGAGCTCCTCCCGGGGCGATTTGCTCTTCAGGTAGAAGAGGTAATAGTCCTTTAGCTCCCCGAAGGCTGGGGAGGAAGAGTTGCCCCTGCAAGCCGGAGCAGAAGAGGCTGAATTAGTAGGCTGCCCTAGACAGACTATGAACAGCAAACTAAGAGAAGGGAAAGCCTGCCCACCAGGAGGAGGGAGAGAGCCCAACCAGGGACCCACAGACCTGCTGTCCCAGTGCAGCTGCCCAGCAGCCCTGCTCACATAGCTCCAAGAACCTGGGAACTGCTGGAACAGTTCCTGTAGCAACACATTGTTGATGAGACTCCAGCAGGACCCCGAGATGAGCCCAGCCCATTGCACAATCAGGGTTGCCTGGCTGGTTGCATACCTCACTCCCTCCCACACCCTTCTTCCCACGTTGGTGGCTCACCAGCGGCCGTTGGGAAATTCATCCCACTCCTGAGTCCGGTAGATGTAGCTTTTTGGCCTGGAGGCCCAGAAGATGGGCCGGACGTCTTCAACTCTCCTCTTGGGATGGGCACTGACTGCCCAAGGCAGAGGCCGCCTGAGGGGAGAACAGGAAGTAGTAGAATGGCTTCTCTTTATTGGATCCCCCACACTAGGATTGTAGGTGGTGCCTGTCACAGCATCTGACCTGGATGCACCTGCCCCCGGAAAGGAGAAAGCCGATACAGCCAGGGCATCCCTGTGTCCTGAATGGCACCTCCCCCAGTTACAAGAGAGGACCTAAGAGGCTCATACCTTGGCCTGCAAGCCAGGAAAGTTCCCTGCTCACCTGGGATCCTCCTTCCACAGGCCCAAACGCTTGAGAACCTCAGTGGTGGCCACCTCTCGGTTGAGGGTGTAGAAGTGGAGCCCATGGACCAGGCCACTATCCAGCAGCTCGCGGCACATGGACACGGCCAACTCAACCCCATAGTTCCGGATAGCTGCATCGTTGTCCTTGATGGGCTCGATCACATCCTTGATCTCCTGTGGCACCTCCAGCTTGGACAGCTTCACCAGCTGGCGAAGGGAGTGGTAACCCTGGTGTTGGGAAAAGGCAGGGGGAGGGGAAGGTAGTTCATGACAGAGGGGTTCACAGTGGCTGTGGAAGGATCTCCCTCCAGGCCCCACTCCCTCAGTGGCATAACGATCCCAGCTCAGGGGAGGGGGCTTTTTCTGGGTCAAAATTAGGAGCTTTTAAATTGGGACTCCTGGGTTCTGTTCCCAACTTCACCCAAAGTTCTCAGTGCAACTGTGGGCAGGTTACTTCACCCTTTCTGTGCCTCACTTTCCCCATTGTTACAGGAAGTGAGGGCTTGAGAAGCTCAATTCAGGTAGGAGAGGCACCAGGGGCATGCAGCCAGGAGACTTTCCTCCTATTCTACACTGTCCCGAGTGGTGGTTTTAGCCTGGAAACTCTTACCAGGAAGACAGATGCTGTGGCTGGCTTGGTCCAGCCTGGATGTGGGTTCTGACTGACCCACTGCATAGTGAGGAGCTCTGGGGAAAGGAGCAGGCTGGCAGGCGGTAGCACACTTGAGACTTGTCATCTCCACCTCAACAAGCTTGTTCCCCAAGTGAGCAAATTCCCTATCCCAGCCCACCATAGCATAGTTTCTAGGTTTCATAGTTTGATGATGTTTGTCATCCCACCCCGCTCTCACCTGGATTGGGAAGATCCCAGGAACAACAGGGCAGGTGATACCAATGGCTTGACAGTCCTTTAGGAACTGGAGGAAGGTTTCAGACCTGAAGAAGAGCTGAGTGATGATGAAGTCTGCTCCAGCACAGACTTTCTCCTTCAGATACCGCAGGTCAGCTTCGTAGCTCTCTGCATCAGGGTGGCCCTTGGGATAGCCTTCAGGAAGAGCAAGGAGATTTGAGCTGGCATGTGGGGCTCCCTCTCACCTACAGAGCATCAAGATAAGTTCTGCTAGGTGGTGAGATGTCCACGCCATTAAGGCCCCAACCAGACCCAAGCAAGCCAGCACTTTGTGGCCTGCCAAGAGGCTTGACCAATTCCCCAGTCTCAGAAGACTCCCTGTCCCCAGCCAATGCTCAACAAGACACGTTTACCTGCCACGCAGATGTCAAAGTAGTCATCAAACTCGCAACGGATATGCTTCACCAAGTCGACAGCATAGTTGAATCCTTCCATCTCCTCCTCCCACTCCTCGCCAATGGGGTCTGAGGGATGAGGGGACACAGGTCACATCAACAGTTCATCCAGCGTGAAAGGGAAGCAGAGCTAGGAGCATGGCCCACCACTAACAGGAAGGAGAGTTCAGCCTCTGTGACGGCTGGCTCCACAGCTCTGTTCCACCAACATGCCCCTTGCCCCCCACTACTTCCGAACAATATCCAGTTCAATCCTTATTTCCAACTCCAGCAATGGAAGGAGCCTCCAAACCCTGCATGGCCCAGAAGAGAGTGCAGTGCTACTGTTAACTAACCTCGAGGGGATCAGGCACTTCCGGGGTGGAGGAGAACACAGATTCAGGCAGAGATTTATCCAGCTGGCCTCTATGGATCAAGGCCTCTATGTTGGCTTGTGCCAGTCACTGCCTACCTTGGAAGAGTGGTGACAGGAATGTGCCTTGGGCCTAGGGGAGTCTCACCTCCACGCAGCGCCATGATATTCTTCAGCCCCAAGTGCTTGGCCTTGTGTAGGTGCGCTGTGATCTCCTCTTTGGTTTGGTTGCAGCATGTCATGTGCAGGATGGTCTCAAGGCCACAGTAGTTGACAGCCGTGCTGGCAATGACCATAGAGGATGTCTCCTTATCAGAGCCTGGGTCCCCAGCTGGATGCCAGGTGACATCGATGAAGAGGGGGCCCCCCACTGCCATGCGGTCAAACCTGCAGAGTGTGATGGCGAATGGAGTCTGGCATGAGACCATGGGGATTTACCAGCCCATATCTGGGAGTTTGGGCTTGCTGCCAGGGGGGACCAAGGCTGACAGTACATGATGAGTGCACCATAAGAAGAGGGGCTGAAGTGAGTGACAGCAAGAGGGACCAGAAGAAATTATAAGGAGCCCCAAGGACCCAGCAGACCCACACCACTGAAGGGACAGTGCTCAAGGAAGGCAAAGGGCCCAGCCAGGGATTGCAGGAAATCTAGGCCTGTCTTCCAGGATAAGCCCTTAAGAGAGAGGAGGCTTCTCTCAGAGAGGACCTGGGGGTTGCGAGACCTAAAGGCAAGTCTAGGGTAGACAGCATGATGGGGATTATGGAGGACCTGCCTCTTCTGCAGGGGGCTGTGACAAAGGGAAGATGAACTGAGACATCCCATACAGCTCTGGGTTTCCAAGATTGGGCTGCTGTGTAAGGCCGCAACTCTCCTGCCCAATGCCCATCACACCAGGCTGGCTTTTGGGCCTAGCTTTCTGAGCAGCTTGTGGATAACACCGAGATGCGGACATCTGGTTTGTAAGCCAAACTGTTCCATCTGGGTGAAGTGTGAACAGAGACATGCTTCACAACCAGGAGCAAGGAACAGGAAGTCTGCAGTGCCCACAACCGCAGCCCTACACACAGCCCCTCGCCCCAGGGAAAATGGCAGAGAGCAGCACAGTCCTGGACATCAGAGGTCTGGATGCCTTGGAAGACGCACAGGATGTGCAGGGTCCAGGGACGTGGACCGCACTGGTCCTAACCTCTCTCTACCTGGCAGGGGCCACTCTGTCTCAGCACGAGCAGGTAAACACCCCCCTTCCCTGGCAGCCCCAGCGTGGCACTTCCCGGGGGTCCCAAAGGTGCCAAGTGACTGAAAGTCCATCTCCCTCCTCAGCAGGAAGGACACAGCCCCCTCCCTGGTCCAAGCTGCCCTGCCTCCTGGGGGTCACACCTGGAGATGAGGTTGACAGCGGCATTGGCAGTGCGCGGGGGGAAGAACTCCAGCGAGAACCACCTGTCCCCGGCCTCCTGCCGCCGGCGCATCTTCTCCCGCAGGCGCTCGTGGCGCTCGGCATCCAGCACGGGGGTGGAGCATCGCGAGCTGTCCTTGGAGCTCTCGCCCCCGCTGCTGCTCCCGCCGTCCGACCGGGAGCCGGAGCTGCCACTGCTGGGAGCCTCATTGACCATGGCGCGTTCTCTGGGCAGGGGAGAGAGGCCAGCGTTACTGCCCAGGAGGGCTGGGGACTGTCCGAGCTGCACCTGTCCCTGCGCCTGGCTTTGCAGCCAAGCGGAGCTAGGGACCGAGCGCCTGGGAAGGTTGCACCTGCTCTTGTGTGTCCGAGCAGGTGCTGCTGCCCCTCCTCCCCGTGCGCACAGCAAGGACGCAGGAGCTCAGACGGGGGCAGAGCTATGACAAGGCCCCGATACCCCCGGTGCCGCCCTGCCTCTGCGAGGGCACCTGCGCCCCCGGCCCATGAGCGAGCAGGCAGACGCGTCGCAGCCTGCGCCAGTGTGGGTGCCCGCAAGGCGCCAATGGCCTGATCTCGCCGCGCCAGCCAAGCCCAGCCTCCTGCCAGCGCAGCCCATGCAAAGAGCAGCCGTGTCGCTGTTTGTTTATGAGCGCAGCAGTTCCTAAAATAGCGCAGAGGGCAAAGGGGAAGGGAAATGTCCCCGCAGCTGGCCGGGCATCCCCGCCGGGCCCTGCCCGTGGGTCGGGAGCAGGGTTGCCAACCCCTGCGGCCGGGCCAGGAGCCTACCGGGGTCGGCGCCCGCCTCCCGGGGGCGATGGAAAGCAATGGCTGTGCACGGGCTGCACAGCACAACCCATGACATGACATGACAGCGTGCTGGGGAAACCCTCCCGGGGCCGCTTGGCGGAGCTGGCAACGCCGGGGCTGCAGAAGCCTGGCCCCCGCCTCGCGTCTG